CCCATTGAAGGAAGGTTCTCAGCCCATAAATATAAGACCTTACAGATATCCTTTGAAACAAAAGGATATTATTGAAGAAAAGGTGACTGAATTGTTGAATAAAGATGCTATTCAGCCTAGTGCTTCACCCTATGCTTCACCGGTGGTGCTAGTGGGAAGAAAAGATGGTGATTGGAGGTTATGTACTGATTATAGGGCATTGAACAATCAGACTGTTAAGGATAGATTTCCTATTCCTGTGGTGGAAGAGTTAATTGATGAGTTAGCTGGGGCTCAGATATTTTCTAAAATTGATCTGAGGGCTGGATACCACCAAATAAGGGTTCATAAGGATGATGTTTACAAAACAGCATTCAAGACTCACTATGGGCACTTTGAGTTCTTAGTTATGCCTTTTGGGCTGACTAATGCACCTGCAACCTTTCAGGCGTTTATGAATTACATATTCAGAGATTGTTTGAGAAAATTTGTGTTAATATTCTTTGATGATATCTTGATTTACAGTGCTGATTTAGAACAACACAGAGTTCATTTACAGCAAGTCTTTGAAATCTTGAAACAACATCAACTATTTGCTAAAATGAGTAAGTGTGCCTTTGGGATTGATAAAGTGGAGTACCTGGGACACTATATTTCTGTCAAAGGGGTGGAAACAGATCCTAAGAAGATTGAAGCTGTATTACAATGGCCTATTCCAACTTCTCTTAAACAGCTTAGGAGTTTTCTGGGATTAGTGGGGTATTACAGAAAATTCATCAGACATTATGCTATGATTGCAAAGCCTCTGACAGATTTGTTAAAGAAGGGTGCATTTCAGTGGACCGAGGAAGCTACCTGTGCTTTGGAGGAATTAAAAAGGACTTTGACATCTGCTCCAGTATTGGCATTACCCAACTTTGAGAAGCAGTTTGTAGTAGAAACTGATGCATCCAATAATGGAATAGGAGCAGTATTGATGCAGGAGGGGCATCCTCTAGCATTTATTAGCAGGTCTTTGGGTGCTAGATGGCAGAAATTGTCAGTATATGAAAAAGAATTGTTAGCATTGGTGTTTGCAGTTCAGAAATGGGAGCAGTATCTATTTGGTCAGACCTTTGTGATTAAAACTGATCAAAAGAGCTTAAAATGGTTATTAGAACAAAAGATTTCTACACCATTTCAACAATTTTGGTTGTCCAAGTTGATGGAGTTCAGGTATGAGATTCAATATAAGAGTGGAGTGGAAAATAAAGTGGCAGATGCACTTTCTAGGGTAACAGGAGCAGAATTACTTTGTATGGTCATATCATCTATCAAGTCAGATTTGTTAGATATAATCAAGAAGGGCTATGAAGGAGATGATGAAATTCAACAGCTGAAAGTTAAACTACAAACTGATCCTAATATGGGGGGAACTACTTACAAGCTGGTGGATGATTTGATAAGAAGGAAAGGAAAGATTATGATTGGGAAGGATGCATTGGTGAAAGAGAAGATCTTACAATGGGCTCACAGCTCTTCTACAGGTGGTCATTCGGGTAGGGATGCAACTATTCAAAGAATCCGAAATCTGTTTTATTGGAAGGGGCTGAATAAATTTGTGCAAGCTTTTATCAGGTCATGTAGAGTGTGTCAGGCTTGCAAATATGATAATGCAGCATATCCAGGCAAGTTACAACCTCTACCTATTCCTAAGGAGATATGGCTTGATGTGTCAATGGATTTCATAGAAGGGTTGCCTAAATCCTGTGGAAGAGATGTCATTTTTGTGGTGGTTGATAGAATGAGTAAATATGCTCATTTTATGACATTAAAACACCCATTTTCAGCAGTGGAAGTAGCACAGGCATATCTTGACAATGTTTTTAAACTACATGGGTGGCCAAGAACTATTGTCAGTGATAGAGGGTCCATATTTCTTAGTCAATTTTGGACTGCCTTATTCAGTGTGCAGGGCGTTGATTTATTATTATCTACTTCTTTTCACCCTCAAACTGATGGGCAAACAGAAGTAGTAAATAGGTGCCTTGAAACCTATTTAAGATGTATGTGCAATGAGAAACCTAATGATTGGTGCAAATGGATACCCCTTGCTGAATGGTGGTACAATACATCTTTCCATTCCTCTATCAAAATGACCCCTTATGAAGCAGTATATAATCAACAACCACCATTGCATTTGCCCTATATGGCTGGGGAAACCAATGTGGAGACAGTTGATAGATCTATGCTGCAAAGGGAAGCTATGATTAAAGTGCTTAAGTCTCAATTGTTGAAAGCACAAAACAGAATGAAAGTGCAGGCTGATAAACATAGGTCTGAAAGACAGTTTGATCTGGGAGATTGGGTGTGGTTAAAACTTCAGTCTTACAGACAAAATTCTGTGGAAAACAGGACTAATGACAAACTATCTCCTAAATTTTATGATCCTTTTCAGATTGGTAAGAAGGTGGGTAAAGTGGCTTACCAATTGATATTGCCAGCTGAAGCTAAAATTCATCATACATTTCATGTTTCACAGTTGAAAGGATTCAGAGGAGATTTGCCTGCTAAACCACATATACCTGTGTGGTTACATGGGTTGCCTAAAGAAACTAAGGGGGAACCTATGGCTATCTTGGAAAGAAGATTGGTAAAGCATGGTGATGGGGCTAGAGTTCAGTTTCTGATTCAGTGGAAGGGTCAGAATGTTGGGAATGCTACATGGGAGTGGTCTGATTCTATTCAAACATTATACCCCGTTTTCTATAACAGTATGACTTGAGGACAAGTCATTGCTTGAGGAGGGAGTATTGATACAGTTCAGCTGCCAGCTCAGCATTATTAGTTGCATTGTATTGTAATAAGATACAGACATGTGTCATGGTTGTTAGTGTGGTTAGAGTTTTGTTAACGGTTGAACCATATTTTGACCGTATATATAGCCCATTCTGTATGTGAGAAAAGAATATAGATATATCAATATTGATCTTCTTCTTCCTCTTACTTCCATTTTCAGTCTTAATTCAGCATGTATATTCTCGTTATCTCTTTCTAAGCTTGGCAGATAACCTGGATTGCATCATATGATTACTGATAATGAGGTTCGATATTGGTCTGAGATGGTTCAGGGAATCAAGCTCAGTGCGAAGAGGAAAGATTTGGCTTTTGGACATGTTATGCGTGAAGGAAATTGGGTTGCCCATTTCTTAGCTTTAGACCATGTGGGCCTAGCTAAAAAATATGTTAGCCCATCTTCTTTTCCAATCCGGGCCAAAAGGGCTTTTTTCATGTATAAGTTTGGTATTCCATCTATTAGAATGTGATTTTCTTTTTGTCCGTTTTAAATTGGGTCAAGTATAGCCCCACCAATTGCTAATTTTACTTATTTTGGTTGTATTTTTGGGAGGAATGCCTCTCTTGGAAAGGTCTAGGTCTGGCCCCCCTTTCTCTTGTACCTTATTTTCTTATCAATAAAAACTTGGTAGATGTTCCCCGACATCTACCTCACTGATTTTGGTGGTTTACCTTCCGGGATAAAAAACAACAACATTATTTGTAACAAACGTGTTTAATGCATTTATCCTCATCCGTTTTCATCAACTACATTTAAATTATTGTGTAACTAAATGTCATCGATTATATTATTAGTATCATTACTATTGTTATTATTGTTATTGTTAATGTTGTGTTGTTGTTGTTGCTAGTTACTCCCTCCGTTCCTTAAAACTTTGCCAAATTTGGCTGTTACGGAGAATAAAAAACTAAAAATAGTAATGACCCTTAATAAGAGTAAACCATACGGAGTACAATTTTTCCCTAAATAGAAGTTAACTCCTATTTCTTTTGGGAATAAGGGAGTATTTGCAACTACTTCTACTTAAAAAAAAGTGCTTTTTCTAATGAAATTTGAAATAGTGATTAATTGTAAAAGTTGATAGTGTTTGAAAAAATTGATTTTACAAAAATGTGTTGAAATTGGAGTGTTTGGTAAAAAAGTGATTATTGATGTAGTTTTTTATTAATGTACAAAAATGCCCCTCTTTCATTAAACCTTTATGATCGGCGTATTTGGTTTCATGGAAAGAGAGAAGGGCATTAATGGGATACAAGTACAACACATATTAACAATATAAATGTCCCCCTAGTTGCCAAGAATTACCAAATTACCAAGAATTATTAGAAAGCTGCTTCCATAAACAAAGAAGTGGTATTTTGAAAACAACTATTTTGACTTCCGTTGACCAAAAAGCCCAAAAGTGCTTTTCAGGAGCAGTTGCAAACAATGCTTAAAACCTGTATGTTGTTGTTGTTGTTGTTGTTGAGGAGTTAACTCCTAATTTTCCCGAAATAGGAGTAAACATTATATTTCTACTTCAAGTACCCCTAATCCAACTAATTAATTGTTCCTAGTTCTCTTGAGCAATTGGGGCACTTTGTTTGTGGCGGAGGCAGACGGCAGCGAAGGTCTGGCGACTGGGGGTGATGGTGTCATGATGGTGGCATAAGCATTCTGGGAATTTTTTGTGGTGGCGGATTCCGGCTTCCGGCCAACGGCGGAATGGCTGGCGTAACGGCGGCGGCGAAACATGTATGAAAATTTTGGCGGATTCCAGCGGCCGGCAGGAACTCCGGCGGCAACTCCGCAAGGGGTAACCTTGTCCAAACTTCAAAGAGTACTCCTATTTGGGGAATTCTACAAGCATACTCCTATTTTTGTACTTTCTCTATGTTTTGCTCCTATTTAGGAAATTAACTCAAGTAGAAATTGTGTGTTTAAGATTTGGGGAAAAGGGTTAGATAGGCCCTCGAACTTGCATAAAAAGGTCAAATAAGTCCTTATATAAAAGGCTTTGTCCGGCCGTCGTCATTTGGGGCAGTTACCGGTGGAATTTTTTGATGATTTTTTTTAGCATCTTATTCGTTAAGTCTAGTTTACTCATACCAAATTTTAGCTAAAATTTCAATTGAGAAGATATTCAAATGAATTCTTAAATATAACTACGCACCCTACACAAAATTGTGTAAGCCAGACATTTTTCCGGTAAAGATTAGGTGCGCACTTTGTACGGGAGCGCCAAATTGATCCCCACAAAATAGCATATGGATGTCTAATTTGTCTCCTAAATGTAACTGGAAAAAGTTTATCCGTCAAAGTTTATCAGCTAGTAGAAAGAGAGAAGCCGTACAATGGAGAAACCAAATAAGAGCATGAAGAACAACAAGAACAATGACACGAAATCTTCAAAATCAGCTATAACACTCGATCAGTTCGTGTCAATCATGAATCCCTTGATAGACTTGGAAAAGGTTATTCTTTTCCCCTGCTAGAGTTAATCTCCTTAGCACATTTGGCAGTTAATCAGAAGTTCAGAACTATAGTTTACTTCGAGTTATCTCCGTCCATTCTTTTCTAATATAGCTGTTTGTTGTTGTGCACATAATTGCTGACTTTTACTGTTGTGGGCACGCGATATTAACCAGGAAGCTGAGATTTCAGCTTCTTTGAGCTCCACCGAGACCAGAAGTTTGGATGTTGCTCAAAAGAAGGGATCCACTATCCTCAACTTGAAGTGTGTAGATGTACAGGTAGTCTATACTTTCTTTTTTTCTACAAAACTGTATTTTATTTCTGCTGGTTTGGTGAGCTTAGTTTTGTCATTGTGTAGACAGGGTTGATGGGCAAGACTATTCTCGAGTTCAAGTCAAATAAAGAAGATGTTCTCCCCCCTCACAAGGTATTCTTATCTCTGTTCTAAAAATCTCAGTCAATGTGGTAGTCTTGCATTGGTTGCATACTTGCCTATGTTTCGTTCCCAAGTTAGCACATTGATCCTTGTATGTGTTAGTTAGCACATACTTAAAAGTTAAAACAAACCATTGGGAGAATTTGAGTTTGCACCTCATGTTTTGGGTGATATTTGTGTTTGCACCCCATTTTTAAAATCATTAATGTATGCACCCCATTAGCCCAAAAATTGTGAAGGAGTGAGGTGCAAAGTCAAATGATTTTATAGTGAATTGGGGTGCATACATTAATGATTTTGAAAATAGGGTGCAAAGTCAAATATCACCCAAAACATGGGGTGCAAAGTCAAATTCTCCCTTTCTTTTCTCCAAGAGAGTCGTGTTAGATAAAGTTAGAATCTTTTAATTTTGGCACGGTATAACACTTAAAGATCATGGATTTTTTCTTATTTTCTTAAAATTTATATTTTGCTTTAACTAAGGTTATCATAATGAACTTGTTTGTAACATTTTTGACAAGTTACTCAAAAAAGTAGTTCCCTTTTACGAAACAGGACATTTATGGGGATGTAAAAAGCTTTTGAAACATGATTTTTTGGGGGGTGAGGATGAACACTATGTTTGTGAGTTTACCTCTACACTTTGCACCATCAGTGTTTGTACGAGCAAATCCGATCTCTGAATATTGTGATATTTGGTGATGGCTATATCCTGCTATCATAGACCGATAGACCTTTGGGCAGGGGCAGAGGTAAGTGCATTAATGTGGGTCTTGGCCCCCCCCCCATTTCCCAATTATCTTTACAGCTTATACACATTGGTTATTAATTTTGTTTCTAAAATCATGTATCCTTGACTAGTCCACCCCCACCTTCTAAGTTTTTATGGAAATCAATAATGAATAATATAACCTAATCGGTAACATTTTATAATCATAATAAATATTTTCTTAAAATTTCATGTGTAACTCTTTGGGACTGGTCCCTTTTAGGTGCTATATTTCTTCAAAGCCTCTTGTTTTTGCAGACAAGAGGATAATTTACAACTAAAAAATCTTTGATAAAATCTGAATTTTGATTAGCGAAAGTTGCCCCTGCTCGGTAAGCATTTCTATCTCCGCCCCTGCCCTTGAGGATAATTTACTTTACAGTGTGTTCTATGTGTTCCATATAGTAACCCCTCTCAACTATCTTTTTCTTAATAAACTTTTTGGGTTGGCAGTTTGGCACCCATGACGTTGTTGTTTTGAAGCCAAACAAGGCTGATTTAGGTTCTCCTTCACTTGGACAAGGAGTAGTTTTCCGAATCAAGGTAACTCTGCTAGTCTGCTGCATTGCATTTATCAACAGACTGCTGAATCAAATGAATATAATTTTACTTCAAAGTATGTGTTGTAGTTTGAATCTGGAATATTGCTTGGCCATTCTTCATGCTTTTCTTATGGAACAGGACTCATCTATTACAGTTGCTTTTGATGATATTCCAGAAGAGGGATTAAATAGTCCCTTGCGTCTTGAGAAAGTGGCAAATGAGGTAAATTTAGAAGCCAATCTAGTTCACTTTGGTTTAGCTGATTTATATTGACATTTTGCAAAACCAGTCTCTTCCCAGTTACTCTGTGTCACTCCTTAAGAGTTCTATCTACTGTGAATGTATTCAAAGACGTTCAGATAGAGCTTCCTAAAGTGAAGAAGGTCCTTAAAATCCAGGAAAAGTGGCCCTTTTCAGATATTTGCTTTATTTGGAGTTCTTTTTGCAGGTCACATATCGACGGATGAAAGACACGCTAATACAGCTAAGCAAAGGTGTTCAGAAAGGCCCTGCTTCTGATTTGGTACCTGTTTTGTTTGGAGAGAGATCACCAACAGTTTCTAAGAAAGATGCGCAGTTCACCCTCTTCAATCGTAACCTTGATCACTCCCAGGTATTTAAGCTCCCATCTATTCTAAAATTTTCCACACTCGGGGCTTTAGTCCCTCTCCCTGTCTCACTATTTTCCCCCCTTTTTTCATTTCCTTCTGATTATACCTCTTTAAAACTTTCTGCAATACTTCAACCGTTTTCTTCTAAAGATGCTTTGAACTGATTATACCTCTTTGCTTTTATTATATAGTTTTTAACAATCACCTGAGTTTTTGGAAACTTAGTGACCTATACTAAGGGGGTGTTTGGATCTACTTTTCAAAACTGCAGAAGCGGATATTGGAGTGTTTGGGTTAAAATGCAGAAGTACTTATGAGGGCTCCAAAATGCTCTTAGAAGCAGTTTTTTAGAAGCTGGGAGAGATGAAAATTGATTCTGATTCTACTTGTGCTTTTAAAAAAGAAGCAGAAGCAGAATCAATTCCAAACACCCCCCTAAGAAATGTTTTAGCTAAAGGCTTGAAGATTATGAAGCCATAATTCCATAACGAAACAGTTAAAATTAAAAAATCGTTGCCTTTAACTCATTTGGTCTCTTTTAGCTCCCCTGCTTAGTATCTCTGCCAAGTAAGATTTACGTTGCAGTATGATTGATTAGATCTGGTAAAGATGGGAATTATCAAACATCTACCAACAAAAGTCACAAAACTTTACTTGGTCTGCCTATGGGAGAAGTTTAAGAACTTTGTCATTTCCACCATAGTTTTTGTTGACTAATTTACTCTGTAAAAGCATTCTAGCTCAGTTGAAGTGTTAAAATAAAAAAATGTAGTCTAAATGATATTTTTTTTTTCTGTAAAGAAAGATGCCATCTCTAAGGCGCTTTCGTCTAAGGATGTATTTTTGCTCCATGGACCTCCTGGAACGGGGAAGACAACCACTGTTGTTGAGATCATCTTGCAAGAAGTGAAACGGGGATCCAAAATTCTTGCTTGTGCTGCTTCAAACATTGCTGTTGATAATATTGTCGAGCGGCTTGTTCCTCACAAGTAAAAATAACTTTATCACAATTACTTTACCTTCACTAAAACAATATCCATTTTCAATTATAATTTAGACTAAATGTAAACTGGTAAGTGAAATGAAAGTATTTTTGTGTTCTGCACTTGTGCTATTATTCATCTGTGAGCAATATCTTCATGATGTTAAATGTTTTTAGTAAGACTGATACAACTTATTCCAGCAAGATATGATATTTCAGTTACTTATTGAATGTAATTCTCATCACATTTACTTCAAATTAGTCACTATGATTTGGTATGTATAGGTGCTTAATGTGTTTTGGTCAAACAACAACTTGGGGATACTAACATTATAATTGTATTGCTGCGTGATTCTCCATTGTGACCAGAGTAAAGTTGGTGAGAGTCGGGCATCCTGCTCGTTTGCTCCCTCAAGTGTTGGATAGTGCTCTTGATGCTCAGGTAGTTTTCACCTTTGTTTGGAGATAAAGGTTAGATTGTAGGATGTTATTGTCCTAAGTCCTAAATTTGAACTCATTATCACTCGGTTTATTTTGTAAATATTTCTGTTTCTTTCTTTGTGTGTAATACACGTATGTTTCTCTCTCTTAGCTTCAAAATGTGTTCTACTTCTGAAAAAGATTGAAATACATATTCATAAACATACATACTTGCATACATACATAGACACACACACATGTGTACTTAAATACATACAAACATATGTTTGTGACTTTGTGTGTCTGTGTTAGTTTGCAGATTCACTGATATATTGTGATGTATTCGTAAAATTGTTTCTCTTGCTGAAATGATGTGTTTAGTTGGTTTACATCACTCTAGTAGAGAGTCCCCCCTTGGGGAATATTAGTACACTTGCTTTGCATTTTTTTTAGTTCCTGAAGCCTTGTTTGGGGTAATTGATACACCTTCAACTCAATGTCATGTAGGTTCTCCGTGGTGATAATAGTTCACTTGCAAATGACATACGCAGGGAGATGAAGGTAAAATCTTTCCTAAAGCATAACTAGTTGATCTTTTGATTTTGCAAAAAATGATCTGCTTTGCAAAAAAAATATCAAATCTCTGACTTTTAAAAGTGTGAAATCCTTGTCATCCATATCTTCTTAATTTCCTGAAGAATTGATGACACAAATAATGGAAAATAGTCTGTCCTTTCTTTGTACACTCTTTACTTTTGAAGCCAAAAGGCTATACAAAGTTTGAACGTCGATCATAGTGTATGTGTAGTTTCATCTGTTTCCTTCTGTAGGCTTTAAATGGGAAGTTGTTAAAAGCTAAAGATAAAAACACAAAGAGGGAGATTAGGAGAGAGCTCAAGACTCTTTCCAAAGAAGAGCGTAAAAGGCAGCAGCTGGCAGTGACCGACGTGATAAAAAATGCTGATGTGGTGCTAACAACCTTGACTGGCGCATTGACACACAAGTTGGGAAGCACTTCGTTTGATTTAGTTATAATTGATGAAGCTGCTCAGGCACTTGAAATAGCATGCTGGATTGCTCTGCTTAAGGTATTTTAAAAGAGGGATACAATAAAATCTTTATAAAACATTAGTCTTAGGACCTAACCACTTTATTACTATTAAGATGCTATAACTGCATAGAGGTATTAATAATTTGATACAAACTATTAGGAACACCGAACACCAAAAATAATAACTTTGACATCAATAGGCATATAATAACACCCTAAATTCCTAATAGTTTTTAACCTTTATATATAATGAAGCAACACTGTCAACGTAAAGCTGGCTGAAGTAATATGTTGTCTGAATAGGTTTCAAGAAATTCAATAGAAAAGTTAAAGAAAATATAAAATGTTTTACCCTTTTAAGCTAGAATTTGTGTGTTTTCAATTATACACAACTGAAAAAGATTTTTAAAGCTAATAGCTAAACTGAAATGAACAGTACTATAATACTACCTTCGTCCCAAAATCCTTTTTCGTCCGTTCCAATATAAACTCTTGCTTTTCCTTTCATGGGAAAAATGTGGTTCATAGTATTTCTCTCATCTGCACAACTTTTGGCCATACAATTTTCACTTCTTTAATCCCTGTGCCAAGTCAAAAGAAGAATAATGGGACGGAGGGAGTATAATTAGTCGTTTTAGTGAATGTAACGTGTGTGTGTCTATATGACTATATGCACACACACGTATGTAACTCTATAGAGCTATATTTGCTAAATGTAGAGGTTATTCCAAGTTAGAACCATATTTTTAATAGCAAAGTAGAGGTTGTTCTTGTATTAGGCATTGTTTTCTAGGGTTTTTACTGTTCTCAATTTCTCATGTCTACTTTTTTTATTCCTCTATTGTATGAGCTAATACAATGAGTTGGTTTCAAGGGTTCAAGGTGTATATTAGCTGGAGATCACCTCCAGCTTCCCCCAACCATTCAAAGTGTTGAGGCAGAGAAGAAAGGATTAGGAAGAACATTGTTTGAACGTATTGCAGACTTGTATGGTGGTGATGTCATGTCTATGCTCACTGTCCAGTATCGTATGCATGAACTGATAATGAACTGGTCATCGAAAGAGCTTTATGATAGTAAGGTGCATACCCACTTATTGATTACGATTTATTTGAACTGCTGATCAGTTACCAGTTGTGCTTGTGAGCATGTTGAGATCTGATTCTGTTTGGGATTCTGCTGAGTTGTTTCTCTAGATTGAAGCACATGCAAGTGTTGCTCAACATATGCTGTATGACCTTGAGGGTGTGAAGATGTCAAGTTCTAGCGAGCCGACCCTAGTTCTCATAGACATAGCTGGGTACCGTTTTTTAACCTCAATTGTCAATGTTACAGATGATGGGAAAGTGATTCTTGTGTGTGTGTGTGTGTGTGTGAAAATGGATGATACTAGGTCAAAACATAAATAGCTTCTTTCTGGAGAGAAAATGAGTGACTTTATGGATGCACATGTGTCCTATTTGTGAAACGTTTTTGTTAGGGAAGAATAAAAAGAAGACATGCTTTTTTATGCTTGCAATATGTGTGCGTGTGTAAATTGTGTAATGTATATGCATATTTATATGTAATGTATATGCATGCATATGTAATATATATGTTTATACATATATACATATCTACATATATGTATATATGTATGTTTATATGTATATGTGATTGTGTGTGTGCGCGTATAATCTAGTTCAAATAAAACTTCATCTTAGATAAAAGTAAGAACTGGTCTTGATCATTTATTAAGTGCAAAAGATGGTGGTATTAATGTACATACGAAGAGTTTTAATAGAAATACGAGGATAAAAGTGACTCACTATATACAAAAAGTGCATCAAAATTCAAAATAAAATGTACATAACCAAAATAATGTGATTAGAGTTCTTAAACACATACAAGTACAATTTTATGTAAACATTATGCGCTTTATATTATAAAATGTTACACATTAATTTTTTAAATATTTTACAATTTTAAAGCGGTCTCTCCCTCGGCGTAGGGTTTCGTTTCTCCGCAAGTCGACAGCGACTTTGTGCGACTAGGTTTCTCTGCCTCCGTCTCGTACGAAGGCTTCGCAGGAAAGGATCAACAGCGATGAGAATTCCTTGCCTGTGCACTATTACTGGGGAAATACAAAAACTCATGGACTGGGAAAAAAGTGGAAAGTGTTCTGTTATGCATAGAACACATTCAAATTTGTTAGGAATATGGATCCTCTGTAGTAATTCCACTGTATTTCTCTTCTGCTTCTTATTGCCCGCTTCTTAATGGCATCTGTTTCAGTTGTGATATGGAAGAGAAAAAAGATGAGGAAGATAGCACATTGAATGAGGGTGAAGCTGAGGTTGCCATTACCCATGCGAAGAGGCTTGTTCAAACTGGAGTCCGAGCTTCTGATATTGGAGTAATCACCCCTTATGCAGCACAGGTAGGAGTTACTATGCTTAGATATTTCTAAAAAGCCAGCAGGGCCATCTCCAGATATACACAACTCTTACAAAAGTAGTACATTGTTTTTGCAATTTAGGTTGTGCTTTTGAGAGTCTTGAGAAGCAAAGAAGATGTACTCAAAGATATGGAGATCTCAACCGTTGATGGTTTCCAAGGTCGAGAGAAAGAAGCTATCATCATTTCAATGGTGCGGTCAAACTCAAGGCAAGAGGTATTTATGATCTTTTGTGATGTTTTTGGAGCCATTTAAGTAGCTATTTCAGTAGCCTATGTAGCACATATACATATATCATACATGAAGAAACACAGATATAAAAGATCAGGTGCACAAATGTATTTGTAAATATTAAAAATTAGGACTTGCAATTATAAATTTTTAGCAAAGAAAAATAAACATACATGTTATTTGAATGATTTTAATAATAATCAATTTATAAAATTTCAAAAATTTATGGATAAATTTCTTAAAAGACAAAAGAATTAAGTAATGTACTACCTTTGTCCCAAAATCATAGTACTGCCTTTGTCCCAAAATGATAGTATTAGTTTACTATTGTCTATTAACTGGTCAACGCAATTCACTTTTTATCTCTATTTTTTATACTCCCTTCGGCCCAAAATAAACTTCATTATTTCCCTTTTCGTCCATCCCAATGTAAATTCTGTTTTCCTTTTATGGCAGCAACTTCTACCCACACAATTTTCACTTTCTTAATCTTTGTGCCAAGTCAAAACATGAGTTTATATCGGGCGAAGGTAGTATCAAAATTTTATAATATTCGAATTGGATTTTGGCCATTCTAAAGAGATTTTAATGTAGTTTCTAAATTTTTAGTTCTAAATTATAAATGTCATTTCGTTAAGGAGAGTTTAACTTTTTGATTTGTCATACCTCGAAATCCACAATGAGTCAATGAGACTATCATTTTGGGACAAAGGGAGTATTTAATTTATTATTTACTGCTATACTAATATAAAACTATTAGCCCACACCAAACTCTTTTGGGACTAAGGCTTGGATGTTGTACTAATATAAAACAATGCAAAAATCCATCAATAAGGGGTCATGCTTTAACATTTAACCCATTGATACACATCTGTTCAGAATACGAGTATAAAGTTTTTTTAAAAGTTGGGGATGTCCCTAAACTTTTGATTGTTTTAGATACAGCATTAGATTGAATTATCCTTGCAGCATTGCCAATACCCAGTAGATTGTTGTCTTTCCTCGAGACTTGCTCATAGACTAATTAAAAAAAACTTCTTTAGGTTGGGTTCTTGAGTGACCGGAGGAGAATGAATGTTGCCGTGACACGAGCAAGAAGACAGTGTTGTATAGTCTGCGACACTGAGACAGTCAGCAGTGATAAGTTTTTGAAGCGTTTGGTTGAGTACTTTGAGGAGCATGGTGAATATTTAAGTGCTTCAGAATACGCAAACGAATGAGACATTTATTTGCAAATTTTACCATGTTTTCAAACCGAGTTGTTTCATTATAAGTAGTCCATTTTCTAGTTATGATCAATGTCGATGTTGATTTATTATCAATTCCATAGTTACTCATATGAGACATTTTGTTTCAAATGTTAAGTGAATTGATGATTTCTGATTCATTTGGCACAAGAGTTTATAATAATATGGTTCACTCCATGGTGGAAAATAGCTTCTTTGCGTATGCATATGGAATGTGATGAAGCAGTTAACTTGAACATGTGAAAGATTTCTGTGTGGGTGCTCCTATTCCTTTATTGGTTGCTTAAATTGTGAAACCCAGTTGAAAATAAGAATTACAGGCAGGTATTCGTCTTTCTTTCAAGTTCTGAGCTTCACTGTAATCATTCTCTATCCAATAATACTACATTTTTCAGTTATTCAGATCTGAACTTGCATAGTTGCATGGTATATAGAGCTTTATGTACAGCTGACAAAGACTTGTCGCAATAAATTTGGGGGTTGTAATATTATTGTGAGTACTTTCTTTACCCTTCAAATAGTTTCTTTGCTGTAGGTAGAATAATTATCTGATTGCAGCCTTTGCAGGTATTCATCTCACCTTGTAAAATAACTGGAAGTTTAAATGCCAGAATGAAATGGACCTCCCCCATTTCGGTGATTGATACTACATAGAAATGATACAATATAAATGAATCATTACTCATTTCTCAAATCTCTAAATCTCCCGGACACTGACAACATTCCATTAATTTATTAATTTAATTTAATTTCATCCAGTGAACAAAATCATCATCCCCGTTTTTCCTACTCTTCTTAGCTGCAAATCCTGCAATATGACTCGGGGCAAAGTAAGTTATGAACCTTTTTCCCTAATGTTGCCTCTAACAAAATGATACTCCGTATGTAGTAAATGGCTTGTGAACTGCATACACATGCAACAACAGGCAGGAGATTTAGGCTGAGGTCATCACTGAGAAGTTTAGATGTTCCATATAGTTGGGGTAAAACCGATGTCATCAATGACATCATATAAGCTACCAGCGGCCTCTACCGTTTGATTATCTTCTATTCCCATAGTCTCTTCCTGTGGGTACCCATTGTAGATTTTCTCACCAAACGAAGTTTCCGGTTCTGGGAAACAGCTTAACAAGTGATCCACAGTTGACAGGTGGTTATGATCTTTTTTAACAATTCCCAACTGCTGTAGGAACTCGTTCAGATCAATCTGAGGCTTCTCGGGCTCCTTCCTCTTAAGATCCGCTGTGAACTCTGAGAATACTAAGGAAAGAAAAAGAAGATGAAAACTGGTAAGAAAGACAAATTCTGGAATAACCTGTGTAATTTCTGTAAAAAAAAATAATCATATACTACGTATCATTTTCTTTTATACTTTCCAAGGCAAAACAAAACATAAACAGATGTCTTTTCCTTGGCAATTTTTTTCCTTTCTCAATTTTTTTTCTGTGATCCAAACATACCCTTATTAGTTCCTTGATTATTAACAAAATGGGATTGTTCATTCGCGTGATCACGTTGGGAAGATGAGCTGGACGAAGATGCTTCTCTCTTCTTCAGTTCTTGGAGCCTTTGGTGAATGACATCCACATTCGGCTGGGCATTTAGGTTGAGAAGGCCCGTGGTAGGGAACATAGAAATGAAGTTGTTGCAGGAAGGGGACCATTTGAACGTATTGTGGGATTTGTTTAGCGGGTGGATGATGTCAGATCTCAAGTGTGGAAGATTTAGATAAGCTTCCGATCCATAGAGTCTTCTTGCAGCTTCGTCATAAGCCATTGCCGCCTCTTCTGCCGTGGCAAATGAGCCCAGCCATATTCTTGTCCTCTTCTTAGGCTCTCTGATTTCTGCCACCCATTTCCCCCATGTTCGCTGCCGAACTCCTCGGTATTCGCATGTGGCATTCTGGGGTCCTCCCTTCCCTCTCGCGGGGCCTTTCTTCCATGGCTTAAGCGGGTTTCTCCTGTAGTTGTCCATTGTTTGGAAGTGGAAAAAGAAGAGTGGTGTTATTTTGAGAGTGAAGGGATAGGGGGAACATATAACAAACAGAGTGGGGGTTTTGGAATGATAAAAATAAAGGGGGTGTGTGGTAACATGCAAAGTTAAACAAACGATTGCATGTGAAAGTGAAACGCAAGAAAATAAACCGCTTACATTATACTACGTGTGATTTTTTTAAATATCTTACAATATACCATGTAAAATATTTTACATGATAAGTAATTAAGTATTAAGCAATGCAAATATTTTGCGTGTATTTGGAAAATGTATTGCACCAAACTAAATGATGTATTCATACTTTGACATGGTTTCCCAAATTTTAGTATGCAAACTACTAAACACGCTTACACGCCCTTAGACTACAGGTTGAACTCTAAAAGAGAAAAAGTCAACCTTCTTAACACTTCGTTTGGACTGCATATTTTAATTTGTCACATGAGCCTACATTATATCTACGGATTATTTAGCAGTTCAAAATCTTATTTTAGCTGATATATGACACTCTTAAAAACTGTGGGTGTGTATTGTGAATTGTGATAATGGAGAAGATGAAAAAGAGAAAGAAAGAATGTGACAGAGAGAGAGAGAGAGAGCGGAAGAGAGGTCTCGGGATTCAGGGTGTTAATGTCAGGGAAACATGTGAAATATTGAATTCTCAAACAGCTTGTGATTGTTCAAATTCAAGCTGTGTTTAGGTATATATATTCCGTACGTAGCAGGCGTAGTTTTCACAATCAAGAGCGCATCCCTCTTTAATTTTATCGAGTCCAAACATACTCCTTTTTGGGTGTTAATTTTTAACATTTTATTATTGTCTTTCTATATTTTGTTTCTCTTCACATATTACTTGAATAATAAATACAACGAGGTGCGGCAAACTAGTATTTTCATTTTTTTTTTGTAAAAAATAGAACTTAGATGTATAGATCAAATAAACCAATAAATATATGAAATATTGAATCAAACAGAACTAAATTGAACCAAATCATTTTTCACTTTGATAATCCAAACTTCAAACTAGGGATGGACCCGGGCCGGGCCGGTTCCGGTTCCGGGCCGGGCCCGGGCGGGCTTTTTTTCGGGTTACATGGGCCCGGAACCGGCCCGGGTTGATACCGGGTCCGGGCCTAACCGGGCCGGGCCGGGCCGGGCCCGGTTCAATGTTTTTTTTTTTTTTTTTTTTTTTTGACTTTCTTGTTATCTCCCTACCCCCCCCCTCACCCCCACGCCCCAAACCTCCCTAAAACACCCAGCTCTACCCTAGGAAAAGAAAAAAAATTGAAAAAACCAAAAAAAAAAAAAAAAATGAACCGGGCCCGGCCCGAACCGCCCGGGCCGGTTCAACAAAAACAGGGCCCGGAACCGGCCCGCCCGACCCGCCAAAACGGGCTAAAAGCCCGGAACCGGCCAACCGGGCCCGGTCCGGTTCGGGCCCGCACAGTAGCGGGCCGGTCCGGTTCCGGGCCGGTTCGGCCCGGCCCAGTCCATCCCTACTTCAAACTGAATCGGATCGGATCACTTCCAAACTGAAACACACATGGTTTTAGTTTGATACAATATCTCCTGATGAATCGAATCGAAACCGATAAAAATCGAACGGTAAACTGAATTGTTCACCCTAATAGTAGTTATCCTTAAAATGACAAATAAAGTAATTTGTGAAGACAACTTGAGGGGTGCACATAGGGGCGTGCATACATATGCATGTATAAGAAGCCACTTTGAAACCTGCACGGGTAGCTCAACTGGTAAAGCGGTGGGAAAGTTGAACAAATGACCAATGATTGAAACCAGCAGCGACCGTGTGAGGCCAACACTCCTATGTGCTGGGCCGGGCCTCTGGTGCGCACGGGCAGTGGCGGAACCATGACTCATGACTCGCAGGAGCACAATAACAAAGAAATCATATACTACGTACTATAAAAAAAGCATATGCATCACGAATATAGCAATAAACAAAACTATAAAATTTAAATAAAACAACTACTTAAAGAGTACCTTAATTTTGATTAGAACCTGACGCTTCAAATGAAGGAGATTCATTGAGAGGCGACAATCTTTGTCTTCGAGGTGCCATACTCTGAAATCGCTTCACAATGACTTCATTCTCAATTTTAACAAATACATCTTTAGCAATGTAACACACCAAGCAATCTGTCAAGAATTCTTCTCCCATCTTGTTGCACAAATCACCAACAATGTCATCATCGGACAATTCAACTTCTATTCGAGCCTTTTTAACATTATTGTCATTGTTAGGAATGACATTATCTGATGAAGAAACTAAATTATTCGATGAAGAACCACCAATGCTTGGCTGTTTAGGTTCCGGTGTATAATATCGTAACACATCGATTTTTGTCAAACAACCTAGGCCAATTACAATTGAAATAATATGAGTATAATTGTATAAATTACATTATAACAGATTAACAACATTAAATAAAACAATAAATACACAATTATAAATTTACAATATAATTAACATTTTAATGAGATTATCAGTTATCACAACATAATTGCCAAAAACTTCAACACTGTATTTGAATTCAACAAATAAAAGTGTTCAACAATTAACATTTTATTTGAATTAAACAAATACAATTCAATAAATATTTTTTTAAAATGAAATTATCAGAAAAACAATTAGGTTAAGGCAGTAAAAGGCTTACCAGGAGTCCAGCCGTCCAGGAGTCTAGAGACGCAGTCGCTAGTCGCTATTCTAGTTCCGGCTCGCTGACTTGCTGCTGTGATTTGTTGGCGTTGTAGCTTGAACGCAGTAGCTTGAAGCCTTGAACGCTGACTCGCTTTCAGTTTCCATCATTGTAGCTTGAACTTAGTTACGTAGGGGCAGGGGCTTGACCGCTTGAGTTGGGACTTGGGATCTTGGCGTTTTGGCTTTCGGGGAGTTGGGTTGCGGGCCGCCCAGGGAAGGGTTTTTGGGATTGGGTTGGCACAAGGGAAAAGGCTAAGGTAAAGGGCTTTTGGGATTGGGCTGCAGGGGCTCAACTAATTACATAGAGTAATATATATATATATATATATATATATATATATATATATATATATATATATATATATATAGCATATATATATAGGGAGCGGTTCCGGTAAGAACAGATCTTAGGAGAAAAATGAGAACGAATCTGGACCGTTGAATTGTATTATGTGGAACCAAATTGTGCATTTGGTGAAACTGAAATGTGCATTAAATGATATTGAAATGTGCAAGATAAAAATTTAAACTCAAGTGTGCATTAGATGAAACTGATATGTGCGGAAAAAAGTACAAAAATAACATCACATCGTACTTTTTATTCTGCACATTTCAGCTTCACCTAGTGCACATTTCAATTTCACGTATTGCACAATTCAACTGCACATAATGCCACTCTATCGTACCCTTTGTGATGCACATTTCAATTTCACCTAATGCACATTACAGTTTCATCTAATGCATACTGAATTTCACTTGAGGCAAATCTAACGGTCCAGATTCGTTCTCATTTTTCTCATAAGATCGTGTTCTTATTTGAACCAAAACCTATATATATATATATATATATATATATATATATATATATATATATATATATATATATATATATATATATAGAGTCCCGATCCTGTCAGGCCGGCCTGACGGAAACCGCCGTCAGGCCGAGGCCATCAGAGGCCCTTCCCGGTGGAATTTTTTTATGAAATTTTTTGAGCATGTTCCTCATCAAGTCTAGTTTATCCATACTAAATTTCAGCTAAAAATTCAATCGGGAAGGCAGTCAAAAAAATTCCCTACTAAAACTGCGCAGTTTATATATAAATAATGCACAGTTTTAGTAGGGAATTTTTTTGACTGCCTTCCCGGTTGAATTCTTAGCTGAAATTTGGTATGGATAAACTAGACTTGATGAGGAACATGATAAAAAAAATTCATCAAAAAATTAGACCGGGAAGGTCCCCAAATGGCCTCGGCCTGACGGCGGTTCCCATCAGGCCGGCCTGATACGATCTGTCCTCTATATATATATATATGAGTAGTCTTCCTGTCAGGACCGTCCGGAAACAGAACTCCGTACGGACCTCGACGTTTGGGCCTCTTCCCGGTGGAATTTTTTTATACAATTTTTTTCGCATGTTCTTCATCAAGTCTAGTTTAACCATACCAAATTTCAGCTAAAAATTCAATAGGGAAGGCAGTCAAATGATTTTTGGAAGTTAACTGCGCACTTTATATACATATAAAATGCAGTTAACTTCCAAAAATCATTTGACTGCCTTCTCGATGAAATTTTTAGCTGAAATTTGGTATGGATAAACTAGACTTGATGAAGAACATGCTCACAAATTTTCATTAAAAAATTCTACCGGGAAGGGGCTCAAATTCCGAGGTCCGAGGTCCATTTTTGGAGGTCCTGATATGAACTCCCCCCCCCCCTCTCTCTCTATATATATATATATAGAGAGTAATGATCCGGTCAGGAGTTCCTGACCGGAACCCCGTCCGGACCAAGGCATTTGGCCGCCTTCCCGGTGGCTTTTTTGATGAAATTTTTATGACATGTTCTCCATCAAGTCTAGTTTATCCACAAAAAAATTCAGCCAAAAACTCAATCGGGAAGGTCGTCAAATGATTTTTGCAAGTTAACTGGTCCGGAATATGTATTTTTCGGACCAGTTAACTTGCAAAAATCATTTGACGACCTTCCCGGTTGAGTTTTTGGCTGAATTTTTTTGTGGATAAACTAGACTTGATGGAGAACATGTCATAAAAATTTCATCAAAAAATGCAACCGGGAAGGCGGCCAAACGCCTTGGTCCGGACGGCGGTTCCGGTCCGGAGCTCCTGACCTGAACATTTGTCTCTCTCTCTCTCTCTCTCTATATATATATATATATATATATATATATATATACATATATATATATATATATATATATTAAAAAACAAAAAGAAAATCAATCCAGGGGCACGAGCACCTCTGGGGGTTGGTTCCGCC